ATAGATACAGTAGCTGTTGTATTTACAGTACACATATTACTACACATGAAATAGATACAGTAGCTGTTGTATTTACAGTACACATATTACTACACATGAAATAGATACAGTAGCTGTTGTATTTACAGTACACATATTACTACACATGAAATAGATACAGTAGCTGTTGTATTTACAGTACACATATTACTACACATGAAATAGATACAGTAGCTGTTGTATTTACAGTACACATATTACTACACATGAAATAGATACAGTAGCTGTTGTATTTACAGTACACATATTACTACACATGAAATAGATACAGTAGCTGTTGTATTTACAGTACACATATTACTACACATGAAATAGATACAGTAGCTGTTGTATTTACAGTACACATATTACTACACATGAAATAGATACAGTAGCTGTTGTATTTACAGTACACATATTACTACACATGAAATAGATACAGTAGCTGTTGTATTTACAGTACACATATTACTACACATGAAATAGATACAGTAGCTGTTGTATTTACAGTACACATATTACTACACATGAAATAGATACAGTAGCTGTTGTATTTACAGTACACATATTACTACACATATGAAATAGATACAGTAGCTGTTGTATTTACAGTACACATATTACTACACATGTTAAATACTTCAAATAAAATTTCGCCAACAATACAACTTTAGGATAACAGGAAAATGACTGGACTATGAATTACCCAGAGCACACATGTACCAAGTTCTATTGAAATTTGTTGAATGGTTCCAGAAATATCAGTGTAGATTGTAAATTACTGATCTTTGATATAACTTAATGCATAGAAAGTAGCCTTGAGAAGTTTCTGCATTTTTTGTGATTCTATAAATAATGTCATTTTGATAGAATTGAAATAACAAGTAATGACATTAAATTGCCCTCATATTAAATATTTAATTTTTGATTCCATGAATGACCAATGACGTATGTCAGTAATTTGCCTTACCCAAAATATAATACTAAAACCTGACCAAATACACAAGATTTATTAAAATTGCTGAAAGCCCAAAACAAAACACACAAGAAGCAGAGATAGTGTACCTACATCTTTAGGAGCTTCAACAGCAGCATTGCCATCCTAAAAAAAAAAGTGAACTCTGGATTATTGAATAGCAAACACTGACATTGCAAAGCCCTGGTATCAAATATGTGTTAGCTGATGGATGACCATTGATGGATATTATTAATTAGCTTAATGCTAGAAATAGTGAAAATACAATGAAGTATTACAACTACCGGTATATCATCCAACTCAAATAACTGTATGTTATGTATGAATGCATCATTTATTTACTATATACACCGGAACAAATTAAGTGATAACGTAACAAGTTGGTTGGCTGATTGCTCCACTTAAAAAAAATCTTTATTGCAGGTGTAAGATAATAGTAGCACATGATTTATTTTTTTCAAATTCGTCTACCTAACCAGCCGATCTCGTTTGAACAGACACACTGACAGGAAACTCCTTTTATTAACACCACTGTTTTAAGAAAGCTGAGTGTAAATAACGATTTAGGCTAGCACTGAATGTGTGTCTTGCGCATGTCAATCCAGTGAAAGCACTGGCGTCAACTCAAAAACGAAATAGTAATTTTGAGCCCATACTCAAGATGAGTAGAATGAGATATGTTTGAGGTTTTTACTCCAAGATTTGTAAGATTTTGCCGTGAAATTATTCAAAAACATTTTTTGGGTCATGTCACCATGGCAACAGTGGACCAGAAGTTTTTTTCATATTTTACCATCTAACTAAAGTGAAGATGTGACCTGCTTGCCAAGTTTAAACAAAATTAGCCCAGCCCAAAAAATCACAGAAGAGGAAATACATGAAAAAGACACACACACACCCACACATACACATACAGGTGTCCCATGAGTTGTGGAGCCACCATTGGATTAACTTTTAATATAGTTGAATTAACTTTTAATATAGTTGCGATATGAACTTGATTAAAACGCGTTCCTATATAGGGTTGCGTTTTAATTGGAGTTTAATTAAACTCAATTACAATGCAATACAATGGAGAATTGCACTTTAATTAAGTTTAATTAAACTAGAGTTAAATATCCTGTGACTGAACATAGAAA